TGAGTTTATATGTCAGAAGTCAGAATTGCGAGATTTGAACTCTGAATTGCAAGAAAAATATAAGAATTGCGAGATGTTAAGACCTAGAAAAAAAGATAAGTCTGAAGTGTGAGAATTGATTACAAGATTACAAGGGGGGGTTACATTTTACTTAAAGCCTTTATGTATAAGTAGGTTTCATGCATTAATTATGCCTTTGTAATGCACATTATAATCCATTGTATAATCTCATGAATAATTGTAACTACAGTTAATACATTATAACACTTCTCAATTCATTGTTACACTATACATTTTAAAATCAGTTATAATTATTTACAACAAGATATAGCGTATTACAATGCACATTATCAATAATTATAATGCATTGTATCTTTTAATAACCCTTTATAATGCATTATACTTAAAGGCTTTAAGTAAAGTGTTACCAATAAAGAATTGCGAGATGTAAACTCAGTTTATAACTTTTGATATTAGATATTAGATATTAACTTACAATTGTGAGAAAAAGCCAGAATTATGAGATATAAACAAGATGTAAAATCATTATTCAGAGAAAAAAGTACACATTTTGAAATGTAAAATCTAAATTCTGAGTTTATAACTTGAAATTGCAAGATATAAGCTCACAGAGGGGAAAGAAAAGCCAGAATTATGAGATTAAAACTCGGAATTGTGAGATATAAACTGAGATATAAAAAAGTCAATAATTGTGAGATGTTAAGACCTAGTGGAAGTAAAGTCCAAACTGTGAGAACTTGAAATTACAAGAAAAAAGAAAAGAAAACTGAACTGCAAGATGTATGAGTTTAACTTGCAAAATTGAGATATAAACTCACAATTGTGAGAAAACAAGTCAGAATTATGAGATAAAAAGTTGCAATTACCTTTTTATTTTCTATGACAGAAACAAGCTTCCATACCCATCTCCCTCATTTCCTGCTTGCGATATGATTTTCTAAATGTTGTTTGCTCATGACTTTGCTCCTCATTTTTGATGTTTTTCCACCACATCAAATTTACGTCTGCATTTTCAACTAAACATTTTAAAAATAAGCTTGAAGCCAGTTTGTGAAATACGCTCTAACTTTCCGTCATCTCTCTGTTTGGTGTGTGTGCGTGGATGTTTGTTTCCTCGTTCGTGTCTATGTGCGTGTGTTACAGGTGACCTTTTCGGACGCTATGAGGAGCAAAGCGAGGCTGTCTATTACTGGGAGTACTGGCGAGAATGGACGTGTGATGAGTCCTGAGTTCCCCAAATCAGTACATGCGGTGCCCTTTGTTAGACCTGGTGTGGGAATGAACGTCAGTTTGACTGATCTCTCCTGATGGATAAGAACCTGCCGAGTGCCTTACACAATGGTTTTCAATAGAGTGCGTTATATTCTCTTTCCTGTCGCTCTTTCCCCTATCTCTCACCTGAATGGAGGACGGAGGCCTCATTTGATGTCACAGAGACATAATCCTTCCTTGGCCCTTTATAACAAAAGATGCACTCTTCTAGTGGAAATATGCTGACTGACACAAAAACACTCGATTAGCGAGCTGATGACATCTACCCCCTGTAACAGATATTTTAGACAACAAACTTGAAACTCATAGAAGCTCTGAGCGGAAAAGAGAGAAGTTAATAAAGTCTGTCTGTTTTCGTAGCTGATGCCGTTCCAATGTCTATTTCGGCTCAAGCACACTTTACCATCGTCTGCTTCAGGATGTGAAATGTCTTTTTCTTAATAAAACAAAAATCTCTATGAAAAAGTATTTTTATGTATTTTCACAGAAATGGCTTTTAAATAAACCTGCTTACATACCAGTTAATTAAAGCTGTAAGTCATAATCTCAGCATACTTTTAAGAGCTTAGCTACTAGTTTCACATTTTAATGCCAAATATGTTGCTTATCTTGTAATTTATTAGTCCTCTTCTGATATATTCATTAACATTTTGGTGTTAATATGAAATATCTAGCAATGCTTGACATTTGAAATCTGTTTGAAAAGTGGGTGCCACAGTTATGTTCTCTTACTTTCATCAACTTGTTTGATTTCAAGAATCTGTTTGTATTTTTTGTTTATCAAGAAAATCAGGGTAGCGGTTATAATTATAAAAAAGAAAAAGTGTTTACAATATGAACATAACAAAAAAAGGAAAATGTTTTTAAAAAGTACCTATTGTATTATTGCATATGTTTTGCTGTGAAATGAATAGAAGCATACACATCAACAAAATGCTCTGTTAAAAATGCCAAATAATTAAGTGTGCCAAAATTATTGATAAATATAGTCATATATTAATCTGTCATCAATGTGAATGTAGTCAATACATTCTGTAAGTTTTGTTACTAAATGTACAGTTTGATGGTATACACAGTGATTTATCAATATTTTTATTTATTATTATAATTTTTTTTTTACTTTATAGCACTTTTAGCATTCAGACCACAATATGGATTTTTGTTTATTTATTTATTTTTAAATTTTCACTCTGCATCTTGAATTTGTTTTCCAAGCATTCAGGTTACATATATATAATTAAGAAATCATGAGAGAACAGTTTGTTTGATATATCGCAGTTACTATGACTATTTCCTATAAAAGCAATGGCAAATTAACACTTGATACTGCAATAAGCCAAGATTAAAAAACAAAAATGTCCCTAAAAGTGAGAATACATTTGTAAACTCAGAAAATGATCACAATTATGTAAATTTTTGTATGATTTATTATTATTATTATTATTATTATTTTATGTGTCCAGTTTATTTCTTTCCTTCTCACTTCTTCAGCCTTCTTCTCCTCAGTCTTCCATACAGTACTAGACTGGGAGACTGGTTAAGGCTTTTGGTTTTGTCACAATATACTTAATATTAGTTGAACAATGCCATGTAATTTTAAGGACCGCTCGCTCTACCATTTCGTAAATGAATGTGTGCCAACTTGTTTATTTTTTGGGATCCTTTCTAAATAAAAGCTGACTAATAGTCTTATGTTTTGACTGCAGTTTTCAATGACCAATGATTATAGCATACCACAGTTTCATATGACAGACGACTTCTCAGTCCTAGAAATATGTCTGAGCAGGAAGTGACAACATATACTCTGCAGGATTTTGAGGTTGCAGAGCTTCATCTAGATGCCATTTTACAGAACATTTCAAGTCATCTGAGAAATACGTGCTAATCATTTTGATCTTTTTGAAGTAAAAAGTAATTTTAGCATGATTCGTTTAAGTGTTCCCAATGTAATCATTGACAAAATGACTCACTCAAACACACAATCAAGGATTTCAATCTTCCCAATAGATAATTCATGAAGTGATTTACACACATTCCTTGTTGTGTTGGGATGGATTTGAATGTGTCTGCTAGCTGATAGGAAGTGAGAGGAACGGAGAGGTGTTTTTGATCATAAATAATCATGCTGTGACGTCTCTGCATTGGTGTTAATGAATGTCACACATTCCGAAATGACAGATACCCTCCCCCTCCTCGTCCTACATAATCCCCCTTCCATCTTTGCAGCCCATATGGTGCCCAACACTTCTGGAGACATCCATTTAACATTTCATCTAACATTTAGTCTCAAAATATTAAAGGCTCTTTGGGCTTTTACACAAGGGTATGTACTGATTTTGGAGGGCACTTTAGAAATACAGACTCTTTATCTAATTCCACATTTCATGATCTGAACTTTTGTGTTTTGGGACACTTCAAATATGTTCCATGCATTTCAAAAGATTCTTGATGGAAAACAAATTAGCAGATATCTGGCATGGGATTCAAAGGCTTTTGTTAAAAGACCGCCTGTTCCATTTCTGTTCCTCTATACTGGGTTTCCAAACAAAGTGCCCTGCTCATATTTATATTTGACCAATAATAGTATGTTAAGGGTGCACTCAATAATGTTTTGTTTATGTTGCGGCATCTTGCATTTATTTTGACACATAGCAGCATGGATGCAATAAGTGTCTGATAATAGCAAGTGTTTGGTTATGTTATCTCAACATGGTGGCCCCCATCAGTGTTAATTTCCTCACCGATATTACTGGTGAATATGTTAATTAACAAAATGATTTTTTATTATGCTAATAAAGACAAATAAAAAGATTAAAAATATATAAATTTGGAAGCACACATTTTATACCCTTTTAATACAACATAACACATCCTCAAAAGACCTTCAGAGATGCATTGCTAAGAATAAGGCAGTGTAATCTGACACACAGACAAAAGGAGAGATATAGCTGTGGTTAAATCAGCATCAGTCAGAAAACACTGACATTTGGGTTATCTCCAGTCATTAGGTCAATGATAAGACAGGGGATTGGTGGGCTAAACTTCAAAACCCAATGGCATGTCTAAGATGACTATCTGTGCTTCAGCTTCCTCCTTTTGCAACTCAATCAAAGCCGTCATTGATAAACTCAAGCACAGCGCAGCTATGATAGCAGGAGGAACAACAGGACTGCCCTGAGTGCAGTGGAGACATCAATACCTCATACAGCCTCACCTTTCATCTCGCCACTCCCATAATGAAGCCCCAAAGCTATTTCCTGGGGTCTGCAGAGGAGCCAGAGTGTGGGCTGTAAGAACACGATTACAATTGAAAACATACGCATTATAAGTGGAATTATGTGGGACAAAATTGGGGCAAGAAAATTTCCTGCGGTAATCCTAATAATCCCAAATTCAAAAATGTGATTGTGCTTTAAATAATGCACCAATTCACTGCATAATTCATATTACAAGCTTTGGCAAAAGACATGTAAATATTTCTGTATGTACATACTCATAAGGATGAACTTATATTACCTTCCAAAACACAAAATGATGAAGAAATCACTTCATATTAACCAGTATGTATGGTGATGTAACATGACCTCAATATCTCCGTCTAGAATGGTAAAGGAGAAATGTAGGACTATCCTTGCAATGACAGTCTATTAGATTTCATTTGAATTCACAATTTTGCCCTCAGAATTAATTTTGCATATGTCACCCAGTCGAGGGAGAAGAACTTTGATATTAGGGTCAGTGGCCAAAGTCTTATTACAAAATCAATTGTATTCATCCACTACAATATTTCCATTTCTCCAGTGCAGATGTGATTAATCAGGACAAACTCTGTTCTAGTTTTTTGGTACATTTCAGATTAAAGTATTCAAGGACAAACAAATAAACAAACAAATAAATAAATAAATAAAACTTGCAAGGATAATAGTTGAAATTTCATGTTTTAAAAATACCTTATTATGCACTCGATTAGGATTAGTTGCACTCGATTAGGAAGCATCTGACCACTGGATGCTGTGGCTGACCAATCAGAGAATTGAATATGGCCTGGAATACTCAATTCTGATTGATCAGTCGCAGCATCCAGTGGTCAGATGCTTCCTAATCGAGTGCAACAGTGCCTTATACTGTAAAGTATCAAGACAGGCCCCTGACTCTATGTCATTTATAGTGCTTATTGGGAGTGAATCATGTCTAATATAGGTATTTTTTACATCTGGAGCACAACAGTTGCACTCTATATTTATATTAGTCATGGCAAAGCAGTATATCAGTCCCCTCATCCGGGTAATGCCGGGCACACACTGCATGATTTTCAAAGTCATCAGATCGCTGCTCTCTGGAGTACCACCTAGCTGCTGTTGTGTGCAAACTACATGACGGAGTAGCGACAGGGGTGTCACACATTACATAACTTTTCAAACGGGAGAATCACCCACAACTCAATCTAGTCTACAAACTACGTTTAACAACCAAACTCATTGGAGAAGTGATGCTGGAAATAATGTAAGGAGTTCTCGTGCGAGACTAGATTTCTTCCTGTTCGTAGCCTGCAAGAAGCTTGAGATACAAGTTGACTTTACAGCGAAAAAGAAACAAGAATATGAAAAAGAGGTGGTTGCTTGCAGAAGCCATGCTTGCTGATGTTTTGTTGCATATCAATAACTCCACCCCCTGTACTTTCCCTTGCCCTGTATCGTGCTCTCTCATTGGCTATAGGTTGTCGCCAGGGCCGTTTCTCCGTAAGGATGCATTTAACTCGACAAAGTGGTCTAATAAAGGATGTATTGATCTCGTGAATTAGCGAATTTTACTATACAAATATTTTGTAATTGGATGTTTAAGTTTATATGGGAATATATTACATGACACGCTGATCCTTTAACAATGCATTGGCGCAAAAAACGCACACCTTTTGGACAAATGTGCCACAAATACTGCCTAAACAAAATACAGATTTTGTGCACTTTATTTGCTGTACCAATATTTTAAATTGGCCTTTGAACTTAGCTTTATTGCATGGCAAAAAAAAGTGTTACCTTGCCAAAGCACTGACAGAGCCCACTGATCTAATGGCGTTGTTGAGCGCTCCAAATGCAAACAAAAATGCAGCACTCTGATCTAGTGGCATACAGGCATCGTCAGATTGACAGTACTCTAGCCCAATAATGTTGGGGGATCCAGTGTGGGCGGCAGTCATATTTCAGGGTGACCGTGCCACTCTTTATCACAACCCTGCTAAAAGTGCCAGTACGTGCGCTCATTGGCGCCCCTTCAGCTGGTGGCGCCCTAGGCGACCGCCTAGCTCGCCTATGCCTAGAAACGGCTCTGGTTGTCGCCAATGTCATGTTCTGTCAAAACTAATTTCACACTGCAGGACTGTGAGTCGGCAACAGGTGCAGATATTTATTTAGCATGCTAAATATCTCACGGGCATCTGTGCTTCTCTCAGAATGCGTCTTTGATAACATGCACTGCGCGATTGTTATATGCCGATTTGCCTCCGATTTCAGGCATTTGTCTGTGACTTTGACAAAACTGTCGGCGATTGAAAATTGGGGCTAAGATCGTGCAGTATCCGCCTGGCATAACTGAAACTGAGAAAAGGTTCTTACTGAAACCTGCTCTGTTATCATGTCTTTCTTATCACACCGTGGACTCCGTCTTTATTTAATACAAATGCAACTGCTGCCAACTTCTGTCCCATTTAGCGACTAGTAAAACTAGCCTCAGTCAACTTTTGTATTTTACTGTAATACTGTTGTAGCATTTGTCTTGTTGCTAAGGTTGTTGTTTTTTAAAACAGAAGATAATATAAAGGTAAAATTATAATATTGCCTTTTGGTAAAAAAGAAGAAGAAGAAAAAAGCAGAATAATAAACTCACTGTATTCCTTTACATAAATCTACAGACCTCAATTTGGCCTGGTTAAGATGAACTGTCAGTATTTGAGATATAGGAAAGATGGATATCTCACCAGATTCCCTCCATAAAACTTGATAAGTTGGTGTGATATGTGTGTCCCTGACCCTTAATTCAGTTAGGAGACGGTTTCACAGAACACTGTCTGAAAGTTGCAGATGGCATCTGCGTTTGACATGCGATATGAAGTCTCTTCTCTGTAGACCTGACATAGGACACACTGCTCAAAGCTTCATTTTCATTTTGTTCCTCTCAAGGCTATATTCAGACAACAAGAAATTTTTTTTT